TCATTTAAAACTTCTTTTTTAAAAAAGCAAAAGCAAAACTGCATTATGAAGTGCAGCAGCAATGCAGACTTTTAAAAGTGGTTTGAGCTAGATTTAAGCAAAGCAACAAAAAGGCAAATAAAAATCGGAGATGTTATTTAAATACATTGGACTCTTTACCTATAGGTGCTATAGTCCAGTCTGTTTGTGTGTCTGGTGCTTTGTCATGTTTTATATGTTCATTTTTGGTTTTGCTTCTTTCTTCTTCATTTCAGCACCCTTTTTTCCTGTTTTGTACAGATTTTGAAGAAGTACAGGTAGATAAAATTGGTGCAGCACATTATTTTCTCTGTGATATTTCCACAGGTCTTCTCTCTTTTTCTCCTTTTTTGATAGAAGTGATGCTTTTTTCTTTTCTAATCCAGTTTTAGGAAAACACCAGTTCTATAACTATATAAAATTTGTAACCTGAGGGGCAGAAATTTATTGTAAATTCTTAACTTTTTAACTTTTTTATTGTAAAGAAAAATGTATACAGAGTTTAACAGAAAGCTATGCCTTTCCCTCTCCCAGCACCAGACCCTAAGGCTGCCTCTGCCACGTGGCAGCCCTAAAATTCACCCTGCTGAGGTCCTGCAGTGCCAGAGGCCCCGTGGAGATGCCCGTCCTTCGTAAGGAGCTGTGGGGTGCACCCAGCTTTTATTTCTCACGTATCTGAATGGCTTTGGAGGTCCCGTAAGTCCTGATTTTCCATTGCTGGATGAGCCTCCAGGAGGTAGGATTAGGATCCCACGTGCAGGGCTGGGTCCTCTGTGGCATGTCCGTGGAGGAGGTGAAGAACCAGCCTGTTAGCGCTCCAGGGCACTTCTTGCAGCTTCTGCATTCAGCTCCTTGCTGCTCCTTGAGGTTTTATTAGGTACTTAAGCAATGGGACTGTCAAGAAGCTGCTTCTTGCGTCAGTCTTTGAACACCTGTCTTTCAAAGATGGGAATGTCAAGAGGTGTGTGCAGCAGAGGGTATTCATGTGTGTCTCATACAGCTCCTGTGGCCCTGTCCGTGTTCCCCATACGGTGACAGCAATGCACTCTAACACAGTGTCCTCTGGAGGGTTTTACTGTTCTCTGCCTAGGGATGGGCAGGAGATGTTCTGTTCTAAGGTGGCACCAACTTGCTGGGCATCCCCAGCTCCCCCAGGCATCACTGGGGTACCTGGCCCATCAACAGGAGCTCCTTGAATCCTGGCAGGTGGAATTTCCCTCAGGATTTGAAAATGGATGAACTAGGGGATCCTGATGCCTACTGAAATTCATGGTTTTCCTTTTCCATTAACAAGCCATAAATGGAGGTAACTTCAGTTTCTATTTTTTATTTCTTAAGCTCCCATTCCTTTCCTTTTAATTTTGCCCTTAATTCTTCCTAGACAGACCCTTAATAATATATTTTCAGAACTTGCTCTGAGGAAATGTAATATACACCTATTGAGATCCTAACTAAACTTTTTAATGAGCTTGTGCTTTCTTTGTTTCTGCAGTTCCCCAAGACTTGCATCACCAAAACTGAGTACTATTTTATTTGAAATAACTACCAGCCAGTTCAATACCATGACAATACGGATAAATAAGCTTCCATTTTTTTCCCTAACTGAAGTGCTTTCCTGTGTGCATTTATCTGGTGTATTTTTGACTTATTGTAGCCATGCAGGGAAGGGAGACCCAGCTCTGCAGCTCGACAGGGACCGCAGCTGGGGACAAATGCTCCTCTAGGACACGGATGGAACCCCCTGAGATGGGAGGAAAGGCAGAGACAAAGGGTTGTGGCTCAAGCATAATGGAAAAGGAGCCAGTCCCCATCCCAGCTGGCCTAGCTGGAGCATTTGCAAGGAAATAAGTAACAAAAAATGGGTACGTAAAGAACAACATTGTGCTGCTTATCCCTGGTGCAACCCGCAGGGACTCGGGTTCCCCTGCAGTGGGAAGTTTCAGCCTTTGTTTTCATGGAAGCAGTTTTTCTTCCTGTTCAGTAACAGTTCACAAGAGAAGTCCGTCTTGGCATGACTCCTGTTTCAGGGAGGACAAAAAGGCTGCTCTTCATTTCAAAAGGTTGTTTGTTCCTTTCCGTTTTTGTGTTGCTTGTAGCTCATGATCTCACCCCATGTCAGTAGTGCTGCCTCTTGTGTCTTCAGGTGAGAGGGTCTCCGGGAAAGAAGAGATGTTTTCAGTCCATAGCGAGTAGCAGCTGCCCTTAATGAGTTGGAGCCTGAAAGAACAGAACCTTAACCCGAAAAAACAGGACCTTTTCTTGAGCCTGTATGGTGAGACATGTCAGGACAGAGGTCATGAATTAACTGCTGAATTCTGTAACCCTTGAAATGGCATTTTTCAACTTTGTAATTATATGATAGTTTTTCTGGATTGAACAAAGTTTCACTTTGTTTTCCAAGGGAAATCTCACTGACGTTGCTATGATTTTTGTATATATACACACAAATAGTTCTATTGAAACTGTCTTTTTCTGATGAATTCCTGTTTTGTCAAAAAAGAGATGATCAGACCGGACCTAGTGTCACTCCACCAGCATTACTGCACCTTTTACAGCCCTGACAGATTGTGAAATCCACCTTTTTCCATCGGCTGGAGGCTCAGAGGGACCAGCAGCAGATGAGCATCCCGTGGGCTCCGACCCAAACTCACCTGCTAAGGGAGGCTGGAGAGCGTGTGACCGTTCTCTGCAAACCAAACGTTGTCTGTACAAAATACTTCAGTTTTGTATTAATGGGGTTTTTAGACTTTCCTGCCGACAGGGTTTGTAACTGTGGGACTGATGCTGCAGAGCTGCCCTTTGTGCAGGTGTGATAGATGCGCACACACAGGCATAGGGCAGCATGTGTGTGCATGTGCAAACATATATATTTTATATATATATTTATACACACAAGCACACAGTAGTTACCCAGTGAGGTGTCTCCCTGTTCTCTGTGTGGTAGAATCAGACTGCAGTTACCTAATCTAGATCTTTCTCTGTTTTGGGGACTCTTAGACCAGTTGTTAATTTTTTCCTTGTTTTGAAAGGAATGATATTTTTTTTAAAGCTGGGGTTGGAGCTGGGGCAAGGGATTGGGGCACAACGAAGCCAAACCACTGCCTTTTGGGTACTGGGTTTCAAAATCCATGTTCTCCAACACAGGCAGTTACCACTGGGGCTAACTGTGAGCAAGCTCTGCGCTCATGGGGATAAATTTAGGGCAAGGATTCATTACACGAGCAGCATTAGCTGCCTGTAAAAGAATGAGATGCTTTTTTAAAAAAAAAAAATAAATAAAAACAAAGGTATTTGCATATCTTTTTAAATGTTGTTTTTAAAAATAAACCACCAGCTACGATTTGACACGGGCCACATGGAACTTTATCCCTGATACAGGCATAACCAATCCAGAAAGATTTGTTGTTGTATTTTTATTTTTTCCTCTTGTTTTAAATATTTAAAAAGAAAAAGTTACTTTTCTGTATGATGTGCATGCAAATTTACCGTAATTCTTTTTCTTAAACTTTTTAGTGCCATTTCTAGTATATTCCTGTAAATGTCAGTTACTGAAAAAAAAAATGTAATGTAAGTAGTGTAGCTTGTTTATTGCAAATTGCTGGCCTCAAACTCAACAGAATTTTAAAAAAGAAGAGTTAGGAAGTAATCTTTGATGTTACTGGTAATCAAGGACTCTGGTCCTGGGGCATTTGTTTTGTTTTCTTAATAAAAAGACAAATTGTTCTGTGCGTGTTCAGCTTCATGCCGTGTTTCCCCGCTCCCCCCTTGCTTTGCAGCCTCTCGGATGCAGTGCGTGCTCCCGGGAAAGCTCGGAGCCCTTTGGCTGCTCCTGCCAAGCGCCGGACAGAAATAGAGCAGGAATCCTGGGGTCACGAGGCTCAGAATAATTTGGCAGCGCCCGGTGAGTGCTGGGGGGCCCTGCTAGGTGCCCCCGTCCCTGCGGGTGACACGTGGCTGGTGTTAATGCACACCGAGAGCAAGGACGGTTCCCGTCCTCAAAGCCTGGAGGGTCTGTGGTTTAGGGCAGGTTCAAGGGAGCTAGAGCCTATTTTGTTTGCACCAGGAGGGATCTCTGCTTGGTTTTGCTGTTGCAAACACATACCTGTTTTTTTCCAAAGCACAGCAAGGCTGAGGGCAGCCTCGGGGTTAATCTTTCCCTAACGCTGTTCCTGCTCGCTGCCTCCAAATGCCATGTTCTTGCTAAGGGTTCAGCAAACCTGTTCTCTCCGTTCAACTCTGCAGCAGCAGCAGCAACTGCGCTGTTGGCTCCGCTTCTCCCTTTATAATTCCCGCTCCCCTTCTCCCTTCGTAATTCCCACAAGGAATTTTCTCCCTGTTGCTTTACTGTTCTTGCTGTGGGACTTGCCCTGCAGGTGAGCTCAGGATGGGCATAGCAAAGGGGCCCTCCTTTCCTTGCAACAGCCTTTTCTCGTATTTGAAGTTACTTCTCCACTCTTCTTCCTTTACCCCAACCAGCCCCCCAGCCTATGCTCTTTACGTCTAGAGTGTTCTCTGTAGTGTTTGCCACTGCGTTAGGTGCATCAAAACTGCTCCATATAGAGATGGAAAAGGGCAGAGGGTTTTGGGATGCATCCTGCTGATGTTGATGCACCCCAAAATGTTGCTGATTCCAACAACTATAGAAATTTTTCTGTGCACGATGTCCGGGTCTTGTCTCACGCCTCCATCCCAGCATGAAGCCTTGGGAATATTGGGCCCAGGTTCCTGATCCAAAAGCCCTTGTGGAGCATCCCCAGCCAGGGCAGGGAGAAGCTGCTTTCCCATAGCCCCTTATTAGAAAGTCCTGCCTGGATGCTGGGTTTTTGCTCCTGTGCCTTGGCTGGAGGGCAATAACAGCTGTAATCCTTGCATGTGCTGAAGTGATTAACAGGGAAAGAGAAAGCAGCTGCTGATGCATTCAAATCACTTTAATTGACTTCACCAAAGAGGCTACAACTGCATTTAAAACAAGTGCATCAGCACTACAGAACTGGCTTGCAGAAACGCTCGCTCCATAGCAGCCACTCCGCAAACCTGCTGTGACTAATAAGGACACACAGATATGGAAAATAATACAGTTGGAGCCGGAGGAACAAGCCACGTTCTTTTCCTGCACCGTCATGCAGCGCCTCGAGGTCGAAGGAACTTGTGCACACACTTAAGGGTTTTGCTCTCAAATAGTCCTAAATGACGTTGCTTAAATAAAGGGGGTTTGGGTTAGCAGCCACATAAACAAAAAGGGACTGATGACACCACAGCAATCAACTTTCTTACTGAAATCAAGAAAATGAAAATGTCTTTTCTATAAGAAAAGTAAAGAAAATGAACAGCTGGCTTTAGGGAAAGGCTGCTGTTTCCTCAGCTTCCTAAATCCAGAGTGAGCAGTTTGGGAGAGGATCCAACCGTGCTTCTCCTGCCCCCCTAGGATGCCCTCGGATCACCCTCCTGCTCATCCGTATAAATAACAACCCCTTTGCTCAGCCAGCAGCTGGAGCCTGTAGGTGATGCCCATCATTGCCGCAGATTTCCGAGTCTATCTAGTTATGTACATCCCGTTAAGTGCTTTCTCCCCAGTCAAAATGCACTTTTCCCAAAAAAATATCTCAGGCAGAGCTGGTCCTTGCAGGCTCGTGAGGACTACTCGGGTGTGCAGCACAACACAGGGTCTGTAAAGCACTGCTGTCCATCTCAGCAGCTTTAGCTTTATGCGCACGCAAATCCAAGTGCCAAACACTAAGACATGCATAAATAATCCCGTGGAGAGGGGGCTGCCCGTGCTCGCTGCAGCTCCACGCCGGGCACTGCCATCAGCTTTAGTGTTTCCAGGCCCAGCACTTAACCCATGAAGCGGGGAGGTGGAGGAGGTTCCTCTTCGCCATATCCCCCTGCCTTGAAAAAAATAAATAAATAAAGTGCATGAAAGAAAAATGAAAAGGGAGAGGTTTTAGATCGCTGTAACAGACAGAAGTAATGCCAGTGCCTAACTCTACATGGATGAATAGTCCACCTTGAAGTCAGCATCAAGAACGGAGTTGCTCGAAGTTCAGTGCATCCCTGGCCCCGCGTGCTGCAGGGCGAACACCTAAGCACAGCCTAACTCCGACCTTACACTTAAAAGCTTCATCCCAGGCTTAATGCCCCTCACAACAGCGCTGCTGTGTCTTAGGCGGAGTGTGTCTTAGGAAAGACTTAGGCGGCAGGATTGAGTTTGAATTTCCATGAGCTCTGCACGGCATGATCCTTCCTGAAGGAAGTTATAAGGTTCCAGTTCTAATAGAAACAAGAACTTGAGAGAGTGAAATTGTTATTTTTTTTGTTTCCATCCTAAAATCCTCCAGTCAGTTGAAACAAACCTTCCCAGGCACTACCTTTAAAATAAATGCGCCAAATGCACCGAAACAAGAGCTGTTACCCAACCAGAATTACGAAACCCTTCCTAACTACTGTGTACATTAAGACTTAAAACACTAAGCACACTTTTTAATAGGCTGTTTCCTTCTCCGGTGGATCAGTGACTGCAGGTAGGTGACTATGTACAGGTTTCCTTACGTCCCTTGGCAGGAGACGTGTAGGTTTGCAGGAATTTCCTCCCGGAGCTCCTAACCCAGCCCTGCCTTTCGGGGGGTCGGTACTTATGGCTCCGCAGGCTCCATAAAATCGTGGTTTTTGCTGTTATTTCCATGCTGCCAATTTGTGGCAGCAGAAAGCGCATTTTGCTCCGCACAGGGCAAAACCCTGATGATATTTCCAGACATTTCGAAGGCCCAGATGAAATTATCACTGCATTCTTCTCTCTTCCCTTTGCAAGATAAATCCTTCCCTTTCTTTGCTTCGTGTCTAGCTAGCCGCAGACCATTGCCAGGCAAGTCATCAGGGGGAGACACAGCCTGCAGAACAAGCTGTGCGTTTTGCAGAAAATCCCCCTAAATTCTGCTTTTTAATGAAAACCAGCCTGGACTTGCTGGTGCCCAAGCAGCATTTGGGCAACGTGCAGGCCTAGGAAGTGCAAGTGGCGGCCGGGGACGGTTCCCAAGTGACGGCGGGTGCTGCTCCTGCTCCACAGGCCCCTTCGGAGCAGCTAATTCCCAAGCAGGACGGTCGTCGTTACCCCCAACCCAACGTCCTGCAAAATCCCACGCTCCCAACAGCCAAAACCAGCGTAGGCACCAAGCAGCTTCTCCCCCATCCTACAAACAGAGCCGTACGGCTGGGATGGTGCAAACCGCTCCAGGCTTGATGCCAGCCCGGTCCATCCCCACTGCGGACGCCGAAGCGCCGGGATCACATAATAGCGCAGAACTTGGACTGCCCCGTGTCCCGGGGCACGTCCAGCTTGTTCTTGTCGCGCACCAGGATGGCCTCGTTGCCGTACTGCGAGTACCACATGCTGCGGCTGCGGCTCAGGTAGGTGTTGGGCGGCGCCGACTCCAGTTTCTGCTGCTGCTGCTGCCAGATGAGGAGCGAGGTGTCCCGGTAGCGCAGGCGCGCGTAACCCTCCGACAGGGCCTTCTCGGGCAGGGGCACCCGCCCGTTCAGCACTTGGTCGGCCTGGGGGAGCCCGTCCTCCGTGGGGGACAGCGGCCGCACGGCGGCGCCGGCGCTCTGGAACATGTCACACGGATCCGGAACGCTTCATATGGGTCCAAAACACGTCATATGGATCTGAAATACTTCATGTGGGTCCGAAACGCTTCGTATGGGTGCGAAACACGTCACGTGCGTCTGAAATGTGTCACACAGATCCCAAATACGTCACGTGGATCTGAAACACGTCACACGGATCCGGAACGCTTCATATAGGTCCGAAACACGTCATATGGATCTGAACCACTTCATATGGGTCCGAAACGCTTCATATAGGTCCGAAACACGTCATATGGATCTGAACCACTTCATATGGGTCCAAAACGCTTCGTATGGGTGCGAAACACGTCACATGGGTCTGAAATGTGTCACACAGATCCCAAATACATTACAGGGATCTGAAACACGTCACACGGATCCAAAACGCTTCATATGGGTCCAAAACACGTCATATGGATCTGAAACACTTCATATGGGTCCAAAATGCTTCATATGGGTCCGAAACACGTCACATGGGTCTGAAATGTGTCACACAGATCCCAAATACGTCACGTGGATCTGAAACACGCCACATGGGTCCGAAACGCTTCATATGGGTCCAAAACACGTCATATGGATCTGAAACACTTCATATGGGTCCAAAACATGTCACATGGATCTGAAACGCGTCATATGGGTCCAAAACACATCATATGGATCCAAAATATGTCTCACACGGATCTGAAACATATGATATGGGTCCGAAGCACGTCATATGGATCTGAAACGTTGCACGGATCTGAAACACATCACACGGATCTGAAACACATCACATGGATCCAAAACACGTTGCATGGGTCCGAAACACGTCACATGGATCTGAAACACTTCATATGGGTCCAAAACACGTCACACGGATCTGAAGCACGTCACACAGATCCGAAATACATCACATGGATCCAAAATATGTCACTTGGATCCGAAATACGTCATATGGGTCCGAAACACATTGCATTGATCTGAAACACGTTGCGTGGATCTGAAACACTTCATAAGGGTCCAAAATATGTCACATGGATCTGAAACACGTCACACGGATCCAAAACATCTCATGGTTCCGAAACACATCACGTTGGCTACGGCCAGGTGGGCGCTGAGGTCCCAGACGAGCATCTCCGGGTGCGGGTGCAGCTCGGCTGCGGCTCTGTGCTCCAAGGAGAGCATCTCCGGGGGGAAGCTCCAGGACTCACCATGCCCGGGGAGGGGATGGGGGACGCGGGTGCCTGCGGAGCGCGCGGGGCAGCCGGAGCTGGCTCACGTAACACGGAAGGGCGCGGGAAACGTCGGGCAGCGGGGACGATGCTCCGCGCTGCATCGCGCGCAGGGGTGCGGATGCCCGGGAGCTGCTTCCCAACGGTGCGTGGGGCACCCCGGTGGGCAAGGGGGGCTCTGCAGAGGCCGGGTGTGCTGGACAGACCCACACTGTTACTGGTGTCCTCGTCCGCACGACCTGCGGGGATGTGGGGATGTCACGGTGGGAGCTGGCACTGGGGGCTGCACTATGTCCTGCATCCCGGCCCCTTCCCAGGGATCCTGCACCCATCAATATCCCCATGGGTGCCTGCACCCACCCATCCATGACCTGCCCCCCCACAGATCCATGCATCCACCACTTCATGGATCTACGCACCCACCTGTCCCTCCATTGGTCCATACAACCACCCATCCATGACCCTCCACCTCTCCATGGATCCATGCACCTGCTTATACCTAAGTCCACATTTCCATCCCTCCATGACCCCGTGCCTCTCCATGGGTCCATGCACCCATCTGTCCATGCTCCCCACTTCTCCATAGGTACCTGACCCCCTCCATGGGTCCAGGCACCCACCCATCCATGCTCTCCACCTCCCCAGAGCTCCATGACCCCCCCACAGATCCATGCACCCACCCATCCATGCCCTCCATCCCTCTATAGGTCCACGATGACCCCACAGCTCCATGCACCCACTCATCCACGCTCCCCACCCCTCCATAGCTCCATGCCCTCCCCCTAGATTCATGCACCTCCATGCTCCCCCATGAGCCCCCCCCCAAGGGGCCTACGCTCCGCCACCCCTCCCCGCCGTGTCCCGCACCCCCGGTCCGCTCCTGCACAGACCCGATCCCCCCCCGCACAGACCCGGTCCCCCCGCGCACAGACCCGGTCCCCCCGTGCACAGATCCGATCCCCCCGTGCACAAACCCGGTCCCCCCCGTGCACAGACCCGTTCCCCCCGTGCACAGACCCGTTCCCCCCGCACAGACCCGGTCCCCCCGCACGGCCCCGGCTCGCGGCGCTCCAGGCCCCGGCGCGCGGCGCTGCGCGGCGGCGCCTCCCGAGCGCATCACGGCGGGGAGGAGCCAGCGCGGGCGCGGGGGGGCCGGGGCAGCGCGGCCCGGGGCGCCGCTTTGTGCCCGGCCCCGGGGTCCCCTCCCAGGGCCGCCCTCGGGCTGCATCTGCATCCCCGGCGCCGCTCACGGCACCCGGGCATCCCCCGGGAAAGCCGCTTCCCCAGAGGAGCGCGTGGTTTGCTCCGCTGCTGATAACGCTGCATTTAATCTCAATCTCTTTATCTGCTGCGAAGGCGGCGCCGTCTAAACGCCTCGCAAGCTCTTGGTGCGGCTGCGGCCGCCGCTCCTGCCCACATGGCCTTGGGCACCGAACAAAAGTGCCAGTGTTTCCATCCCTGCCTTGGGCCCGGGCACAAAGAGAATGGAAAACAGGGAGAGAGGAAAAAGAAAAAGGAATGAATATGCCATTAAAATTCTTGCTGTTAAATTGCACCGCTGCTGCTACTGCTGTGCGGTTTGTACCTTCTGCTAGCCCAGGGCAGGGGAGGCAGCCTGGATTAGGCAGGAGCTGCAGGGTGAAATGCAAAATCATCCCTGGAAAACAGGGTGTTTTTTTTTGGCAGGGATGAATTGCCTCAGTCCCTGAAAAATGACCCCCTCTGCCACCATCAACGATGGAGCAGAGGCCCCAGCGGGGGCAGCTAAATTGCCAAGATGATGCCAGGAAAAGGGAGAACCAGAGGTCACCCAAAGCCACCAACTTTGGCCCTTTGCAGAGCGCTTCCTGGGAAGCACGAGGGGCTTCTTGCAGGGTGAAAATGCCTCATATCATCCCTGCTGCTACCCTCCCGGCACGTGCAGTCACCCCCAGGCCTCTCTCGCGTGGGAAGGCAATAAAAACATGTGCAATTGAACTCCAAAATTGCAGGAGAAACAGCAGCCGGTCTCCAGCAGAGGGTAGTGTATCTGCAGCCATGTGTTGGGAGCTCAGCGAGCTCCCGTTTCACTGGGACACATTGGAAGCAGTGTCCAAGTCCTCTCACTTCACCCCCAATTTTGGGGGGACATGTATAAATGGAACCCCCCTCTGCTTTGCATTAATGCCTATTTTCTTTTGCTGCTGTCAGACTCCCTCTGTCATTGCTGTTTTTATCACTGCAGGGGTAGGTGAGGAGCGGCCCCGCTCCGACACCTCCCACGCACATGTCCGGGCCCGGAACACGTCAGATTAAGCAGCGAAGGAGCCAGGACAGGGCCGGGAGCTTTAGTTACATCCACACAATAAACTGCTGTGTAGCCCCAGAAAAAAAAAAAAAAAAAAAAAGAAAAAAGTTTAATGGAGAACCCAAAATAAATAGAAAATGCTGAAGCTGTTATGAAAAATCACCTCCGCGGGGTATGAGCAAAGCAAGATGAGCGCAGGCCAGAATACACCCAGAACAGGGTGTAGCTCTGGCTGGGAGAGAGCGGTGCCCGAGGATGTTGCTCTGCCTCAGATTATATGGGATTGATTCCGTTCTGCCGCAGGGGAAGCGGCCGTTACACCAGTGAGATCAGGAATGTGCAGAGCCAACCGTGCTGAAAGAGGTGCCTTAAAGAAGAAAACTGCCCAACTTCCTCGGAACTGCAAACAATAGTTGGTTATTCTGCAGGGATCTTGTCCTTCTCACACTGGAAACGAGGGGTCACGCCGGCAGAGTCGCTCTTGCGGCTTTATCTCCCGTGGATACATTTGGAAGAGATTAGCCCTGCATTTGCTTGACACGCAGGTTAATAGCTTCCCTCCATTCCAGGCTCGGCTTCCGGTTCTGGCTATCTGGAAAGCCGGCATGGAAACGGATCTATCCCAGATTAACGGGGAGCGGCCGGCTGGCAAAAACTCGACCTCGTGCGGAGCCCCTTCCGAGCTGTCCCAAGCCTCAGGGAGGAGCCAACTCGGAGTTTTCTTTTCCCCCAACACTTCGCTGCCAAAGAGTTAGGAGCGCTAATAAATACCCGGCGATTAATTTTGATAAAAACCCCGGCGGGTGCAGGCGGGGAGCGGAGCGAGGCTCGGACGCCGCGCCCCTCCCGAAGCCCGAGCTGGGGAGCGACCGGGGGTCCCAAGGGACTCAGCCCCCCCCCCACCCGCGGGGCCACGCGTGTCCCGCCGGATGCCGGTGCGGGAAGGGGCGGCGGGCGGGCGGGGGCCGGCGCGGCCGGAGCCCGGCCCCCCGCGCACAAAGCGGCCGCCGGCTCCTCCCGTCGGGGCGGGGAGTTGCGCGGCTCTCGCTGCCCTGCGCGCAGCGCTGCGCGGGGCAGGGCAGGTGGGCGCTGCGCGGCCGCCCCCGCTGCGCGCTTTGTCCGCGGGGCCATGCGGAGCGCTTAGGCGGCGGGGGCAGCGCGCCCCCCACCCACCCGCACCCAGCGGCCACCTCCGCGCCCCCCCCCTCCTTTATTCCCCTCCCTCCTTCCTCCTCTTTCCTCCTCCTCCTCCGCGGGCGGCAATGGAGCGGGGCGCGCGCGGCGGAGCGGCCCCCCCGGCAGCCTGAGCGGCGGCGGGAAGAGGAGGAGGAGGAGGAGGAGGAAGGCCGGCGGCCATGGAGGAGTGGAGGCAATGCGGCCGCTGGCTCATCGACTGCAAAGTGCTGCCCGCCAACCACCGCGTCGTGTGGCCCTCGGCCGTGGTCTTCGACCTGGCGCAGGCGCTGCGCGACGGGGTGCTGCTCTGCCAGCTGCTGCACAACCTCTCGCCGGGCTCCGTGGACCTCAAGGACATCAACTTCAGGCCGCAGATGTCCCAGGTAGGACGGGGCGGCCGCCGCGGAACTTGGCGGCGCGCGCGCGCGGGTGTAGGTGCCTATAGGTGCCTCTGTGGATGTATGTGAGTCCATGTGCTTCGCTTCCCACCCCCGGCCGTGGCCCGGGGCTCTGCGGCCCCGTTATCCCAAACAAAAGCGCATCGGGGTGCGGGGCTGCTCCCGCTCCGGGCCTTAGACGTGCGGCCTGGGTGGGGGGGGGAGCTCCTGCGCGCTGTCCTGAGGCTGATCCCGGCCTCGGAGCGGGATTTGCCTAGGAGACCCTCTGCCTTATCCCCGCCTTATCCCCCCCATCCCCGCGCGGGGGCGGAGGCGGCGGCCCCCGCCTGACCGGAGCGTTGAGTTCGGCAACTCCAGGGCTTCGTCCCTGGAAAGGTTCCCTGCTGCTCTTTGTGTTGGTGGAAAGGGGCTTAAACAAACAGAAATCGGCTCCGGTTGCTGTAGTTCTGAATGCTCTGCTCTTATTTATTTTCTTTATGTTTTTATTTTTTTTTTTCTTTTGCAATGCGATCTGGGTGTCATTTGCATGGGAATGGGGAAGTGAAATCGGTTAGAAACAAATGAAGTTGGGCAGCTGGTCCTCCCTGCCCCATGGCCCGCGTGGTGACAAGCAAGTAGTGAACTTACTGTCCCCTTCTGGGGATGCCAGGTGAAAGGGAGGGCAGATCTCCCGTAGCAAGGACATCCCAGGCTCCGCTTAACTTTATCAAAGCGTTCAAAGGTAAATAATGTATAAAGCTATCTCGGGTTCTCTCTGCTGCCTCTCCTGCCTCTTTCCCTGCTCTGTATGGGAGTTTTGCTGCAGCCTGTGAGCACTGGGGACATGGGGACAGAGCTGCTGGTTTGTGGGATCAAAGACCCGGGTGGGAAGCCCCAACTCTGCAGCTGGAAATGCGGATCAGCCTGTGCGGGCTCTTGTGTCAGTGCCTGTTAGGAGTGACTAGCAGCTCCTGGTGGCTTTTCCAGGATGGAGCAATGCTGTGCGGCTTCCTCTTGGCCTTCCAGCCTTTGAACTGGCCCCAAAAGCTGCTGCTTCCAAACAGTAACTGTCAGGTTGGAGCAGTAGCTGTGCACGGACTTGTACGTCTGCAAAGCATGCTGAGAATATCATACTATGCATTTTTTTATTATTATTATTTTGAGGAAATACTGTAGCCCTACAGATCTGCTGCCAGTGCATACCTGCTCTGTGGGGAATTAAGGGGAGGTTGAAATGCTAGTGGAAGTCTAGTGAAGGTCCCACTTGGCCAGAAGCTCCTGCTGAGGTCTCGGGGCAGGTGTTTGCACCTGAGGAGGAGTTTGCAGCCCAGCTGCAGCTCATGAAGCCGCTGGCTGCCTGCAGCACCTGAGGGCTCACGGGGCTGGGGTGACCTTGCCCAGAGCTGAACCGGGTGACCTTGCTGGTCAGCTCTCCTGGAACCTGTTTTCCCAAGCAGACCTGCAGAACCGGGTCACGGGCCTCCCCCGGGGTGGAGCAGCCCCTTGTGCTGGATGGGACTTGCAGGGACCTGGAGAGCAGGTCCTGCTTCCCCCTGTCCACCCCGGGCTCCAAAGCCTCCTCGGTGCCGTTCTGAGCCCTTATATGTGCTTCTATGTGGTTGGGATCTGATGTTTGCCTCCCGAATTCGGGAGCCTGGGACTTCTCCCCCAAGGAGAGCTCAAGACCAGCTGTCCCTCTCCCCTTGGGGACTCGTTCTCCATGTGTCCCGATGCCCGGGGCTGGATGCTCGCAGCAGGCTCGAAGCCTCCAGCGCTGCTCCCTGCTTCACCCCGCTCTGTGTTTGAAATAGGACCCGCTCATAAAAGAGTTTTGCCCGAGGGGAGCGTCCGTTCAAACACTGGAGGTGAAATTGTGCCTCTCTGCCCAGCAAATGCTTTAAGATCAAGATGCTGCCGTGTCTTTCAGTTTGCTTTTTCAAGCCGAGCTCCAGAGATTCAGCTCCTCTGGTCCTCAGTGGTCCCTGCCAGGATGAGCTGATCCCATCTGCTGCTCAGCCCAAAGTTGCTCAGCCTCAACAGAGAGGAACAAAATATGCAGGGGAAAAAAATAACAGCCAGTTTAGGGCTTTTTTGGGGCTAATTGCTTTTGCTGCAGCTGCTGATTGGGAAGAGGTGGGAGGTGGAATTGGTATCCTTGCCCTCAGTATTTATTGATTATTGCTCCTATTACTGTGATTGGATTTTGGGGGGCATTTCAAGCTGTTTTGTCGGCTCGTAAACGGCAAGTGATGCAAAGGGCAGCCTGATTTGTGAATGTGAGCAGCTGCAGCACCCTCGGGCTTGCAGCCCCCCGGTCCCCCGCGCGCAACGTCCCGTATCGCGTTCCTCCCTGCTCCGAATCATCGCTCTCCTTCCCCCATCCCTTCCCAGAGCAGCTCCAGGATCCTCATTCTCCCGCAATGTTTCCCTCTATATTCCCTGAACCTGGCACGGTTTTCCCACCCTCGGGCGCTGCGTGGCACAACCGCCTCCCTTCCACCCGCGCTCCCTCCGTGACGGAGACTTGGGAGCTTAGGAAATACCTTGATGATTAGGTTGGAATTCCAATTTTGTCAAGCCTTGGAGGGAGCAAAAGTGAAATGACTTTTTGTGTCGTGGCAGGCTTCTTGCTGCAGATCTGGGCGAGCTTGACTGTTTTTCCATTTGTTTGTGATAAAATTAATCTTCCCTAACCGGGATGTAGACAGATGGAAATTAATATGTTTATCAAAGCAGTTGTGCCCTTTTAGGGCTTGATCATGCAGCTTGCTGAGACCTTGAGACTCTAATGTTAAATTTCTCTCTTCTCCAGGGCTGTCCTGGGCACTGCTAAATACTTAGTTATTTTTATTGCTTCTAAGTCTCCTGGATATTTGAATTTATGCTGCCATATACATCCGATACATGTGTGCATATGTGTGCACAGACCTTCCTCTAAGTTAGCAGTAATGATCTGCTCGTTAAGAATTCTTCCTTTGGTGCACGTGAGCGTCTCTCTGTAGATAATTCATCTCCGCCTGCAGCACAGAGAGGTTTTATTTGGGCTCTTGAGACTGATGAGATGCAACCAGCCTAATTGGCACCGTGATTTGGCTGCCCGCTGCTCTGCTTGTGAAATTAAATGCGCCTTCGCACCGTGCTGCACCCGAGCGAGCTGTCGGGAGGCCTCCTGGTTGCTATTTCTTCTTTCCATCTGCAGAATAGATATAAAATAAGGTGGAATCGGAGTCCTGTTTATTGGTAACGTGGCACCTGCTTGCAGTGACAACGTGGCTCGTGTGGCCCGCGCCGCTGCGTCCCCGGGTCCTGCAGATCGGGGCACGTTGGTGTGTTTGGAGCTCGCAGTTCCTCACGGGTCCTTAGGCTTGAGCAAACTTGCGAGCCTCGTAGCTGCAACACTGCTAATTGCTTCCACGTGTCCTGATAGCAGCTAAATATAACTCGGTTTTATCAGGACCGACTCGTCTCCCGAGCAGAAGGCTGAGACCGGGTCCTGTTGTCACGCTTGTGTTTGGGTCTTTTTGCCCCTGGGCAGTGCAGCCCCCCTGCTTGTCACTTTGTCCCCAGGCAGGATAACTCTTTAGCTATAGACTATGGGCATCCCATCCCTTTGGGTCCTGGTCCTGGCCCGGAGAAGGGTGAAACAGCGCTAGTGTTTCCTAGGGCATCGTAGCTGCCTTTGGGCTTACCCAAACTCAGCCCCTCTTGCCTTTTATTTACTCTGAGCTTCTCAAAGTCGAGCTCTGTTCCAAGAACGGCTGTAAAAGCCGGCCTCGTTGCATATCCCTGTTTACTGTGTCTCGGTGACTTCCCGTTCGGATGTGTGAAGCTTTCCAAAGGAAGAAAAAGGTGCTCTGGCTTTTCCAGCCGAGCTCGCTGCAAACAAGAGCCTCTTGTTGTCTCGCTTCCCAGCCCCCTCCGTGTCCCCTGGGATGCTGCAGGCAGCAAATGCCAAATCGCACCCGAAATCCTTGCCTGGCCTGGGAGCAGTGCCCTGCTCTTGCGGGTTGGGGGCTGCAGCTCTTGCAGTTTGGGGCTGCAAGATGCAATTTAAGATGCAGCTGCAGCGGGTTATGTCTTCTGCTTGGGCAGAGCATTGGATGGATGGGTGCAGCTGTGGAGCAGGGATGAGGAGGAGCACGGTGTTGCCGTTCCCCTCCGCCGAGTGTCGCATACCTGCATTAAGCACCTGGCAGGAGCGGGATGGGGAATGAATGGCAGCCTTTCACGATCCGGAGCCAGGAAGGCCGGTGAATTTGGTCGCGGTTCGAGGTGGGCCCGGCCTTGGGAGCTGCCTTAGCTCTCAGCAGCATGTTGATGAGCGGCATGAAGATCTTGGCTTGTCCATCCTTCTTGGTGGCTTCTCCCCGTGCCGAGAAATGGGTGTCTGGTGGTGCGGATGGAGAATCATAGAATCATAGAATGCCGAAGGTTGGAAGGGACCTCAGAGGTCATCGAGTCCAACCCCCCTGCTCAAGCAGGGTCACCTAGAGCACGTGGCACAGGGCTGCATCCAAGCGGGTTTTAAAGATCTCCAAAGAAGGAGACTCCACAACCTCTCTGGGCAGCCTGTTCCAGTGCTTTGTCACCCTCACAGTGAAGAAATGCTTCCTTAAGTTCCTGTGGAACTTCCGATGCTTCAGTTTGAAGCCATTTCCTCTAGTCCTATCCCTGCTCACCACTGAAAAGAGGCCGCCCCCCTCCTCCTCACTGCCTCCCTTGAGGTATTTATACACGCTGATCAGGTCCCCCCTCAGCCTCCTCTTCTCCAGGCTGAACAGACCCAGCTCTCTCAGCCTCTGCTCATAGGGCAGATGTTCCAGGCCCCTGATCATCCTGGTAGCCCTGCGCTGGACTCTCTCCAGCAGCTCCACATCCCTCTTGTACTGGGGAGCCCAGAACTGGACGCAGTACTCCAGATGTGGCCTCACCAGGGCTGAGTAGAGGGGGATGATCACTTCCCTCGACCTGCTGGAGACGCTTTTCTTAATGCACCCCAGGATCCC